AATATAGTTCTGATATTGAAAAAAAATTTACAAGCTGAGCTTGAAGCACATAAAATGAAACTAAATTATCAAGGTTTGAAAGAAAAGATAAGAAGCTGCTAAAGAAAATACTGAAAAGTATATGGTGTCTTGTTATGATTGCAAAGTGTTCTAACTCCAGCTGCAAAAGTATCAAACTTTTATTATGCTAGAAAATTTGCCACCTACAATTTAACTATATATAGTTTGGGCGAAAATGAAGCAAATTGTTTTGTTTGGAACGAAGATCAAGGTAAAAGAGGTGCCAATGAAATATCTACATGCATTTACAAATATCTCATACAGAATTGTCTTCAGAAAGATACTATTTTTTATTCAGATAACTGTTCAGGCCAACAAAAGAATAAATTCATGATTAGTTTGTACTTGTATGCTATTAACTATCTAGATATTCCTTCTATTACCCACAAATTTTTGATAGTAGGGCACACACAAAATGAAGGGATTCAGTACACTCTACAATTGAAAACAAAGAATAGGCTACTTAGAGGAGGGTCAATATTTCTCCCTACAATGGCCTACAGTCATCCAAACAGCAAAACTGGAAAACCATTCAAATTAAATGAGCTACACATAAAGATTTTATAGATTTTAAGCAATTGAGTAAAGATATTGTAACAATTTTAATAAAACACTACAGGTCAAACTGTTTTATGAGAGATATTAAAATTATTAGAGTAACAAAGAATTCCCAGACAGATTCTTTATAAAACAACTTACGGAGAAGCAGATTTTAAAGAAATATAGTTTTAAAGAAAACTAGAAATTCAAAATAAAATCATCAAACATCAATTTGAAATTTGCATTTTCTGAAGAGTCTGGAATCACACAAATTAAAAAGACTTAATTTCATTGTGTGAAGCAAAGCTTATTCCAGATACTTACCATAGTTTTTATAAAACTTAAAAGTGTCTGAAATTAATAATACTACAACGAAGAAAGTGATTAATTTATAAATTATAAATTATTTTAATTTTAATTTATAACATTATACTCATCATAAGGTCATGATAATTATAATAAGTAATGGTTTTATTTTGTTATGTTTGATTCATATTTTGTTATTTTAATACACAAAATAAGTTCACTTATTAGACAGGTAGTCATTTTTAATTTTATTTTAATAATGAATTTTTAAATATGATTAAATACAACTGTTAATTTGTTTAAGGATATTTTATTATTATACCTATACCATTATCATACTATTATAATAAACAACACTTAATCAAATTTTAAATTACTAATAAAATATTATAATATAAAATTATTTATAAGTTGTTTAAATTTCAACAGTGCACAACTCGATTTATGGCATAAAATGTTCATGGCTTAAATTCAATACTGCCATATTTTAATAAGTGGCATCTAAATCAATTTCTGTATGCAACAGTCACATATCAAAATGTGGCAGTCTTGCATTTACTTAAAAAATTGTAAATGGCCACAAGTCTAAAATTTTGGGTTTAAGAGTGAATTTCATAATATTTGAAAAATTAATATTGTAAAGTATGATTGTAAGTATTTAAATATTAAATTTCAAAAGCATAAGTAAAAAACTCATTAAAATATCTTAGTTCCAAACTTCAAATCGATTTTTCTCAAAACTATAAATTTTGAGTTGTGGCAGTCTTGTTCTAGGAGTGCGATATAGTATTACTTTAATTTAGTTTAAAAAAAACTACTTGAATTTAAACTTTATGTACAGTAAAACGATAGGTTTTTGATGGGTTAATCATTTCAACCCAATAAAACATGTAGATACATGCAATATGAATAATAAATGATTAAATTAAAAACAAAGTTTTTTTTTTTTGTAAACAAAAATTATTATTTATAGTATAATGTAATGTAGTATTATTATTTATAACTAAAAGTAAAACAAAAGTAATTTTTATAATAATGGTCAATAAACAAATAGATATAAATAGTTACTTAAATTTACTGCGACAGGATAAATGTATAAAGAAGAGGGAAAGAGAACCGATGGCGTTTGTGAGAATTGTACTATTATGGTCTGTGGTTATCTAAATGGTCTCGGGAGGGCGTTGGACATAGGTACTAGGGTCACGCCGTTGGCCGTGACTGACTGGTGATGACTGGTGATGATATAACTCTTGACAGTCCGTTTATTACAGAGTAAAAAAGTTAAGTAATGAATTAAAAATTGTCTCCGTAATATACTTAAAAGGACATCGCCTAAACGTTCTTCATCATATAATTTATTTATTATATACTTATTTAAAATAAATTATTATCATTTTTTTTTTATACTTACCATATACGATAGATTGTGAACTTCACAGCAATTTATAGCTTGACTTAGTTGACACAGGTGTATGGATAGATATGATAAATATACCCAGAAACAATTTAATATACCATTTTATATAAAAACAATATATATATATTATGCATTGAAAAATGAAACATCCTCCTAGTTTTTATTGAAAATAATATTGAATGGTCACATCCATGACACCTGTGTCAACTAAGTTAACCTGTAAATTGTTGTAAGAGTTTATTTTCTATCGTTTATGGTAGGTATACTATAAAATGAAAAATGATAATAATTTACTCTGAATAATTTTACTTATTTTAGTAGGTATACTAGAAAATTTAACGTAAACAATATACATATATATATTTATGTATATATGATTAATGAACATTAATAACATATTTGGATAATGTTTTATTTATCTATACATGAAAATGTATATATACATATTATATATTTATATGATATTATTTGTTAGGTATAATTAAATATAAAAGAGAGCCAAAAAGTTGATTTATATTTATTTAAATGTATTAACAAGTTTATTTCTACGTGAATATTTATAACTTAAAAAACATACACAAATTTTAAAAAATGATTTAGAAAAAAAATCTTTCTTCGAATATAATATTAACAAATAATTTTAAAATTTCCATAGGCGTATTATATCGGACCATACTATCCGTTTATCATCTTATCGGTTATAACAAAGTTTGTTGGATTCGATCTTTGAATTTCATAGTTGAATTATCTGATATATTTTCCCTTCACGAATTAGACTTGTCTTTCTCATTATTGGCGAAAAGACGATTTAAATGATTTTTAGTTAAAGTTAATTATTTAGTTTGTCTTTTCAATAATGTATTAAACAACGTAGTGGGTTGATTGGGTTAGAAAAAGAACAAAAGTTTTAGGTTGATGATCAATAGATTTAGGTGGTTAGTTATGGCTATGACCTATATGTATTTTTTTGTATATTTGTGATCTTCGTTCGGGAAACGTAACATATTCTCAGAATACGAGGACTTAAATTTAATGATTTACTTTTCGTTTTTATATGATGTGCTCAATTGAGTTTTTTTATCGAGATAGATTCCTAAGGATAACATTGTTGTTGATAAATAGTGGAAGACTGTTAATTAAGCGTAGATAGTGAAGGTTATGGCTAGATTTTGTTCAATTGATTTTTATTTTCAAAGGTGGAATTAGCTTTGGAGCTTTAATAGATGGTTCTAAAACCGTTTTGAGGATTTTTCAAGGTCTGGGTAGGGAAATATTATTTCCGTATCATTGGCGAAGTTAACAATGTAAATAACATCTGAGTGAGGTATACCCTAGGTAAAAATGTTGTAGAGTGTTGGATCTAGTATGCTACCTTGGGAAATTCTTGCCGTAATAAGGTGTGCCGTGTGCATGTTAAATATTTTCTGCGTAGTATACCGTGGAGGTGTCGTGGTTGTGCTAATGACTTCTTCCTCCAACTACGCGTATTTATGAGCGGGCCGGTGGCGGCTGATCACGTGGTTTCTTTTTAATGAGCACGATTGCGTATTTGCGTGGTGGTACTACTTTTTATAATCGTAAAAGTAGTTCGTCGTAACCAACGTGTGTGTCGTACACTCGTACGCGAGAAAAAATAAAAAGGCGACAGGCCGACGCTGCCGAAAAACCAATGTGACCGACCGTCATACATGACTATACTAACTCTGGGAGAATTTATGTGGCGATGACATTTGGAGAATTGATGTGAGATTGCGTTTGGTCGGATCAGAGTCGAAGTTTCCCACCCGTCGACACACTGTTAATTTTCTGTATGTTTTTGCAGTGATTTGGTCACGTTCTGTAGACGTGATTTCAAGATAATCGACTGAACAATTATATTGTGTGTCGGCCTCTTATCGTCTGTGGTATACTATAATTAAGATAGTGATTGAGAACGGTGCGTGTGTTGGAAGCGATAAGGATGTAATGATTACATTGCACTGGAGTTTCGTAAGCTTTTTTTTTTTTTTTTACTTACGATTCAGTTAGAATGATTTGGTTTTTATTTTTTTATTTCTGAGGGGCTGCTGAAGATCTAACTTAGACTAGTTAACTCTGGCTAGTCTAACTAGTCTAAATGTGTGTTTTCAATACTCTTACAAAAACAGGGCCTGATGGTCGACTTTATGACATCGAGATCGTAATCTATTTCAATCAATTTTATTTTTGAAAATAATCGATTCCCACTATACAGTTACCAATTACTATGAATATATCGGACAAGCCAACACTATTGTCATAAAACATTTTAAAACTGATATTACGTTGTTAAATTAAAAGCATTCTGCCTAAGATATTTTTTTATAATAACAATACACGCTTTGATGATAATTTGGAAAACATATTATATTAATCAGCTTTGTTGCCGTATAAATATTATGATTCGGTATCAGAGCATGTTGATAAAATGTCCTAATATAAAATGTAAATAATTTGTGTTATTTGGCTTATTATAAAATGTGGTGTTATATGAAATATATTTAATGAATGTTGTAGTCTATGACCTCTGGTATAACGATAAATACAATGACTTAATATTTATCGGCGCACACTAGTCCCCCTCCCCGACAAGGTTAGTAACAGATATACATACACATAAATTGCGTCCAAATAGTTAGTAGGAGCCAGGAGGCTAATATTTTGTACGAATAGTTCTCAGGATAACTTTCAATTAAAAACTAGAGAGGCTTAGAAACTAATTAATTGTAGTTTTGATTTATAGCTTTTATGTATAATGTGTAGATAAATAGAACAAATTGAACTTAATAAAGTGTCAACTTTTTATTTTATTTTTTTTTTATTAAACTAATTGTTTATTATGGTGTATATCAGACATCAGTCTACAAATAATTATGTACATATTTAAAATATATTAATTATTTATTTTTTATGTATACAATATTTTTTTTATAGTGTTAATGCACACTGAAATCTGTTCATATCGTATTTTTGAAATATTTTGATTCTTTAGCTTTTTAATTTAATTTTTAATTAATACAATTATGCTTTTTTTCTGGTTATATGTACTTGAATGTTGTTACATATTTTTTTTGAAACAAAAAGCATGAATCAAACTAACTATAACTCAACTTATACAATATGTTAGTATTGTTAACTTCAGATAGTTTGAGTATAATAACTAATGTCTAATAGGTACTTATATTAATATTATTGTACAATTCATGTAAAAATTATTATTTATAAAAATATTAAATACATTTTATGAAATTCGAAGAAATTATGACGACGATATACAGTACATAGAAAATGTACTTATTCTGAAAAGAATGAATTCTTCCATTAAAGTTGAAATAATTCATCGTTTGCAATCCATTAATTATCTATCGATAATGCCATATTACCATTAAACAAATCAATATAAATTTATATAATTATAATTTTATTTTTTTTTCAGAAAAACCGCATCTAAAAAAATTATTTAAATAATATTCATAGCATTTTTTACACCATGAACAGGTTAGTTTTAGAAAATATTTAAAAAGTATTTAGTAATTACAATTTGTAAGATTATTATTATTATTATTTATTATTGTTTTAGGTTTATAACAGATAACGAAAGTGAGATAAAACGGTCTTTGAATCCAAAACAAAATGCAAATATTTTTGAATCTATTACATACAGGTAAATATATTTAATTATACTATAATTTGCTAAAGCTTTAAATTTAACTATTTAAATAGCAATTTAATTTTAATTAACTTGTAAATAAACTGTGAGGTTTTTATTTATACGTACTAATATCTCGTAAATATTCAATAAATAATAAATTTTGTAATGGAATCTATTTAATATCATATGATATTATATGTGTAAAAATTGTGTTAAAAAAATGTGCCCAACTATTTATTTCCAGCAAATAAGTATAAATAAAAATTATTTTTTGTAATTTTGACGAAGATATATGTATGTATAACTAAATTTTTTTTTGTATAAAAATTTAAATTTAAAGAAACTATATGTACTCAGGTGGTATATAGCCATATAGGTACCATGTGGTATGTATCGATGTATTTTTATATATTATTGCAGTTATCTACCGTTATCGCTGTATACTATTACATCGTATCATGATTATTTACCATTTTTAAAGTTACTAAGCATATATTATATTTAGATTAAAAATTAAAACTATTGGTTTCCAAACTTTTTTGACGGAATCTTGTATCAGCCATTGGGTCCACAACATAATATTTTATTGTACATATTGAATGTGTGGATTATATGTTAACAAGACCCAAAAAAATATGTATATCGTCAAAGTATTTAATATTTAAAATATCATGATAATATTATATCTATATTATGCTGCACTATTGCAACATTTGGTATTCTATATGGGATAATATACAATTATAATAGATTGAATTTGGTTTACATACAAACTAATATATAACTAATAATACGTGACACGTGTATTAGTGAATTTATATTACCTTTACTATGTTTTTCTCATTAAATTTGTGATTGCATTAAATTGATATTCATAGGCGCAATTTGGATTAAATGTATGGGGGTGCTAGATTTATGTTGATCAAAATGACCCGTAGGTGACTTTTCTACAGCATCATTCATGCATTTTCGTTAAACTACCTTATAATTTATTAACAATTTATAAGAAAATTAAATATTAATAAAGAAAATAAAACACAAATTTCAAATATAACGTATAAGTAATTCCATTTTTATTTTTATATTATATTGATGGGAGAGTGGTTGCATTAAATTAAAAAAAGAAAAAAAAGAAGATATGAATAAAACAAAAAAAACATTTATTTTTACCGTGCATACCATAGAGTAGGCGGACGGGACAGAATCGAACTCTGTCATCTGACAATAACAAGACTCCGTTGTCGTCGTGGTCGGTCCAAATCGTCGGTCGACGCACGTCGATGACGTACACAAAATATATTAATAATAATAATAATAGTAATAGTAATAATAATAATCACTAAAATATTAAAGATATGCGTATTTGAAACATACTAAAATTATTTATTATTTTATCTTTATCAATTTTAGCGCTTAAATCTCATTCAATATTAATGACTGTTTTCCATTTACAAAATATTCTAAAGATGTTTCGGCGTAATCGTTATCGATAATCGTTTTATAAAATCTTCTTGTGTTATTAATACATAATTTAAACAATAAATTGACAATAATATTTTCTATATTATTCTGATCAGTGATCGGTATATTTTATTATTATTAATATGAATATGAAAAGTTCTAGAATCAAATTTATCCTAATGTCTATCACATAATATCATAATTTATAATCAATAAAAATTCCATGATGTTATTAAAAATTTGGGGGTGTTAATAAACATCCCCAAGCATCCCCCCCCCAAATTGTGTCTACGTTGGTCGTTGATATTAATATTTTGTAATCCATAATCCATTATGTGATATTAGGACGTAGGTAATTGATTTTATAAAATACTAGAATAAACAAATAAGCAATGGGATTTTCAATGACCAAAACTGTATTCATTATAGCTGCCAGATAGGTAGCATTGTATAAATGAACATTAACCACTTGTATATTATGAAGTATAGTTATTGCACATCAACTCAATGCGCATTAGGGAGCGAGTTTATATGCACCTAAAATATCAATGATTAGATGTTGAATAAATTAAAAGTTAATGTGAATGTTTTTTAGTCCATGCTTTATATTTTGGATACGTACCATGATCAAAATAATTATACTTTTATCATAGTGTTAACTTTTAATCAAAATAACTTTGAAATTCTTGCTTAAATATTAATTTGATTTGACGAATGAAATTAAACAATAAATGTGCATTGACTTGATGCGAAATAAAAATGCGTTTTTATGCACCTAATTCTCGGACTAGCTCAATGTGCAATAACTGCTGCATAATATAAACGTGGCAAATTTATAGCTGCGTACACTGCACTTATAAGAGTTGTAAAATTTGCGCTTAATGTTACGTAGACGCGTATCAACAATAGATATGTGAATGTAAAGGTGTAACACCGTCCCATAACAAAAGTTGATATGCGATAAAGTTACATTGCGTTCCACGAGTTGTCGGAAAATTCGAGTCGTATCAAAAGATTGGCGTTTGGTGGAGTTAAGAATAGTGCGTTACCCGCAAAAATTACAAGTGTGTGTATAAGCAGCTGATTATTATTATTATTATTATTATTATTATTATTATTGACGGAAATCAAAACATATTCCTAGATCGATCTGTGCCAGTGATGGAAACATCGATAAACCGATATTTTCATAATATCGCATTATCACCATAGTTTAGTAATAATACATAAATACATCGTGCCGTACGCAATAATTATGAGATAGTAATCGTTTATTTTATTACTCTACGTTAAATAGACATTGTAAATTTACTAAATTTCGACATTAAATAGAGCAAATCTTTATCAATAAAATCAGTGAAATTATTGATGCATCAATATTTTGTCTTGTTAGAGATTTTACTACATTTAATTACTAATGACTAATAGTAATACATTTTAGATTTTGGATCTTCTTGCAATTTGAAGACTGTGTTTTATATAGTAATCATTTTAATAATATTGATACAATAGTTAACTATTATAAAATTATGTTTTGTTTAGCTGGATGTTAAATCTGTTCAAAACAGGAAATAATAGGGATTTAGATGAAACCGATTTGTATATGACATTGGAAGATCAGATATCATCACCATTAGGTGATAAATTAGAAAAGTAAATTTATTAAAATTCAATATTATCTTTAACAATATTATGATAAAATTAATTTTTAATCTGTTTTTAGTGAATGGCGATTAGAATTAATCAATGCATACTCTACAAAACGTAAGCCTAGTTTGCTGAGAGTTTTGATTAAAATATTTGGCTGTAAATATTTGTTAAGTGGGTTGGTATTCGGTTTCAATGATATTTTTTTTAGGTAAGAATACTATTCCTGTTAATTACACTTTTTATAAATAAAGATATTTGGATAACGATATTAGGTTTTAATGGACTGTTAGATGGGACCTGGCAACCAATTGGCAAAATACAATTGTCTGTTTATAGTTAAAAGTTTTAACCTATATGTATAGGTACTTACCTAATATCATTGATTATATATACTATAGATGGCTCACTGCAATAGGAAATAAGCTACGCATTAAATGGCGGGTGCCGTTATGAGTCGTTGCGGACTGTCTCTAGTTGTGGCGGGTGCCGTCAAAATCGCTCTAGTAGATCACAGGAGTGGGGATCAGTTGAAACCACTTTGCGATAGTGACGGACGTCGCCGCCTCGCCGGTCGCGTACCTGCGCCATTCCCGGCATCGAATGGCAATTTATGTTATATTGCTATAATATTATATTTGTACTTTTAAAATATAATTATTGTACTAGAAGCGCCCGGCGGTGGTGTAGACTGCGAAGCCGCCAAAGCACTACCGTCGAGTGACGCATGCAAGTCGGATTAAGGGCCCCCCCGGCTAAACAGGCCCCCCAAAAAATATTATAGACTTGCAGCTTTTCTACAATTATGGTCATACAATTAAAAAAAATTATTTAACAATATTTATTTAAAGATATAACTTAAAATATTAATTATTTGAAATAATCGTTTGTGACAAGTTACAACCATGTTATTAAATGTTATTGAAAATGTATTTTATATACGCTAAGAGCTAAGACACCAAGTGGCGGCAACGTGCACCGAAAATATTGTATAGATATTTATAAATTTATTGTTATCAGTTTTTAACTAATAATTAAATATGGAATTCCTAAATAATTTTCATAAGTTTACAACAGTACCTACTCTACTATTGAACCATCAAGTATCAATATTGTCGTAGTTATAGCGTTCTTTTATTTTTGCGGTTTGAAATTTTTATTTTAAAATGTCTGGAGATAAATGTGTATATTTTAACTGCAACTTAACTAGAAGATCGTCAAAAAATACATTTCATCCATTTCCAGCTAACATAGATATGCACAACCAATGGATAGTTAATTCTGGTACGTTTTTAAAATGTGGTATATTAATTTACATAATTATATAAGGTTTATAAATATGATATTTTATGAATAAATGCTGTGCATAATTTTAGGAAACATAAAGCTTGACGGAATGAGTCCGAAGAAATTGAGAAAACGTTATATATGCTCTGATCATTTCGATAAAGCAATGTATATGAATTCGACATGTGTAAAACCACGACTAATTCAGAATGCATTACCAAAGAAATATTCTACTGGTAATTAAGTTCAAATTATTAAAATATTAATTAATTCATTAACATTTTATTAAATGAATAGTTTGTTCTTAAAATGTATTTTTATATGTCTTTATAGATTCCAGTGAACAACCAGTTATGATATCGAGTGCTAAGGCTAACAATGATATACAAAATGAATATGTTTCTACGATAGGTAAATAAAAAACAATGTTGTTATACCTATCTGTATATATAAAATGACTTGTCCTGGGTGATTCATTATCACCTAGCCGGAACCGCTGTAGCTATGGATATGAAATTTTCAGTAAATGTACTTAATACTATGTATAGGCGCACTAAGAAAGGATTTTTCGAAATTCGCATTTTAAAGGGTAAAAAGAGCATAAAATAGTTAATTTTTAACGATGGGTGAGGTTCGTGGTACGGCAGCCGTCGACGCGCGGTAACTAGACGTGGCCGCTCAAATTTCAAAATTTTACGTGTAAATTGTACTCTAAATATTCTCTGGCCAATGCTAACATTTTCTGTAACCAATGACAATCCCATACAAACAAACAAATATTCGAAATTTCCGTTGGCCGAAAATAAAATTATACACGGGGACGGGGACCGAATTGTATCTTACAATTTGTCTTCGAAATATTAAAATAAGGTAATTTTTTGCCGACTTCTGATTATTACAATATATGGGCAACCTACTACCTAGGATCAACATATCTAAAAGTAGCCTGTAATAAATATAAAAACTGATAAAATAAAAGTTGTAATAGGTAACACAAAAAACTGTACACGGGCGAAGCCGGGTTATTCAGCTAGTATATAAATATAATATAATTGACACATATTTTGATTTAATAGATGAAAATGTAAATGTTGAAACCATACTGGAAACTACGCCAACTAAAAAAAAAATTCATTCAGCGACATGTTCAGGTAATTTATTTTTTTTATTATATTACCAAAAAAGCATAATTGACAAATACAGCAATAACAGTCTTTGTGCCTCGCTCAACCGTAGAGTCTCACCCGACCTAGGAGTTTAGCCCTATTTAATATTTAGCTGATAAATATTATTAAATAAATAAATACAAATATTTAAGGCGCCTAGATCAGCGGTTTCCAAACTGTGCGCCGCTCTGCCGACTGTAATTTGGTAAAAAATAAATTACGATAATTTTTAAAACGATGACGGTCATTTCGATTACCATTATGTCGATTGTCAAAAATACTTTTACACGTATTATTTTTACCTAAAATTTACGGTCATTTTTTTTAATGTACATTTACGATATAGATGTCCACTTTTTGAATGATAATGTAAACTATTTAGTAATTTCAATTCATCTTGCCTGATGTAATCATAATTTATGGACGCGGTCAATTCGATGCATTTTATTATATTGATTCAAGTATACTAAGCTCATATTAATTTTTGATGCCCTAATAAGATATGATAGAAATACAACAAAAATGTTTAAAAAAATTGGGTATATAATGATAAAATAATTAAATATTAAAATTGTATTGTAAAAATGGATGTTATAAAATAACACTCAATATTTTCATTATTTTATATAATATGAATGTATTATTTTATATTTATAAATATGTACTTATAGAATTTTATTTTATGATTTTTTTTTTTGACCTTAGATAAATATGATAAAACGCGTCGAATTGACATTCGTCGAAAAGTAGATAAATCAAAATTGCACGCGTCGAAATGACATATATTCCTGTTTTCTGTAGCTCGTTAATTAAATTTTTCTTTTAAAAATTAATATAATTGAAAATAACAATAAAAAATGGACTTAACTCTAGTAGACCAATCATCCTGGAACCACAATTTCTAATTTTATTTTTATTTAATAGAAAACATTTGCTCAGTTGATAATGAAAAGAGTCCATTTGGTAGTAAATTAATTCAAGATTTTTCTCCCAAAGAATTACGATTGTTAACACCAAAAAAAAAATATACTACAGAAGTAAAAAGTGTCAGTTCATTTGATGCATATGAAAATTATTTTGGCCATCAAACTTATTCAGTGTCACCTGGAACTTCATACAGTGTCTCAACTTATACAACTTCCTAGCCCTACTAGTAAAATCAATAGAAAAAATAAGTTCATGAAGTACCAACAATTGTTAGAAAAGTATGAAAAACAAAAAAAATTATTGTGTAGGAAAAGATCCAAGATTTGTTTTTTAAAAAACCAATTAATTAAAAAGCAGAAACAAGACAAAATAAATACTTATTCATTTATCAACAAAACAAAATTTTTTTCAAAAAACTCCAAATCCTTAGTGACTATGCAATTATTACATAAGAAGCGAAAACCTTGGTTACAAAATGAAAAAATGTTAGCAATTTCGATATTTTATAAATCACCAACTGCTTACAAATTTATGAGAAAAAATAATATTATTCTACCAGGTGTAAGTACGTTACATGCATGGCTTAAATCCTTCCAGTATATGCCTGGTTTTATTCCTGAATATATGACTCAAATGAAAATTATGTGCAACACAATGTCTTTCCAAGAAAAAAAATGTGTTATCATGATAGATGAAATGGCAATCAAATATTGTTTAGAGTATAATAAATCATTAGATATGATAGAAGGGTACGAAGATCTAGGACATCTCGGTCGGTCTAATCGGCCTGCAAAACTGGCCTTTGTCATAATGATACGAGGTTTATATAACAAATGGAAATTGCCAATGTCTTACTTTTTAAGTTCAACTGGTGTCAAAGGAGAAGAAATGGCAAAAATAATAAAAAGTTGTGTTTCAGAATTAATCAAAATTGGTTTCGATCCTGTGTGTATCACTTGTGATCAAGGTACAGCAAATCGTAAAATGTTTTCTATACTAAATGCTACATCAGACAAGCCATACACAATAATAGAAGGAAAAAAAATTTATCTAATTTACGATGTACCACATCTTTTAAAAAGTATTAGAAATAATTTATTAAATGGAAATATACTGTTGAAGTTTTCAAAATGTGTCAAAACAATACGGTTTTATGATTTTAAAAAGACATATGAAATTGATAAATCAAGTGTAACAACCCGGGCTATGTGCAAAATAGGTGAACAACATATAAATCCAAATCCTTGGCAAAAAATGAGCTGTAAAATTGCTATACAAACGTTTAGTAACAGTGTGTCGGCAGCTATAAAAACATGTGTAGCAACCGGACAGCTAGATTCTATAACAGCATTAGATACCGCAAACTTTTTTTCGGGACTGAACGATTTATTTGACACATTAAACAGTAAAAATTTGTTTGATAAAAATCCCAATAGAAGACCCATGTGTAAAAATAATCTTAATGCTATAAATATAATTAAAAATTCAATAAATACATTTAAAATTGCAGAAAAACAAAGTTTCCAAAATTCGTCAAAGATAATTAAAAAAAATGTCCCACCTTGCTTCACAGGAATGATTTGGTCATTAAATGCAGTATTGGACTTATATGAAACTGAACAATCAGAAATGTTATTTGCTTCACCTTCAACTAATTTTTTTTTAATGACCAACCGTTTGTGTCAGGATCCTATCGAGAATTTATTTTCAATATTTCGACAAAAAGGTGGGTACAATAAAAACCCAACTTGTCGTACACTACGATATTCTTTTGCGAGTGTATGCTCATTTGGGTTATTAAATTGTGCTTCGGAAAAATCTAATTGTGAAGAAGATGATGACATATTTTTGGTTTCTAGTCAAACACCAACAAATGATGACATAGAAAATCACTCTCAACAAAATATGGAATCATATAATAAGTCATCAAACTTAATAGAAGATAATGATTCCACATCAGAAGAAGAACCAGATAATGAATCAAGAACAACTCTTGAAAAATGTTCAACGATTTATTATGCTGGTTATTTAGCAAAGAAATGCTTGGACAAATTTCAATGTGATCAATGTCAAACATTTTTATTAAAACCATGTAAGGATTTAGATGATAAACAACAATTATTAATTGTTAATAAAACATTTAAGGACATCGATTTAAATGCATCTTCTGGTTTGAAGGCTCCATCTGAAGATCTGGTACAATTTGTATCTATATGCTTAAATGTTTTTAAACATAGTTATAATCAACTCAAAAGTGAAAAACATTTAGTCAATAAATTGATGACTCAGGCAAACCATTGTATACCCGAAAAAGTTGTGCAACCAGTGTGTGCTAAACATTTTGAGTACATAATGAGACTTTTATTTATTGTAAAAGTATTCAAAGAATGTAAATGGTGTTCAAAACCACCTGAACGAAATACAACTTCACAGAAACCAAATCCAAAATTAAGTATCTTACAACACTTATAAAATTTACATATAACATCTAAACAATATTCATCAATTATTATTATCTGAACGACTGAACTTTTGAATTATCTAAAATGTGTTTTAATGTAAAATTGTGCTTGAAATATTTTGATTTATTGTTTATGTACTTTATTATTATTATTATTTTATTAGTTATTATCAATGATTATATTTACATAATCAATGTTATTATTAACATATTACAGAGTTTGTAATTAAACATTAACATTTATTATCTATTTATTTGAATATGTGTTTATTTCATTATTTTCAATTTGGTACCTATCAACCTATCTATTTATTTAGTGTTTATTTTATCAATATACTTCATAATAATAAATACTTTCCTGCCGCAAATGTCCAAATTAGTTATTAACTTATTAGACTGCTAAAATTCACTATTGCTTCGACAATATTGTCAATAATATTTTTGTTTGTTTTGTTAATTTTTCCATCGTAACGTGATTGACGATTGTGATCGCGTAGTCGTCGTCGCTTCCGAGAAGCGCGACGAGCAAAGTGTAGGTTGTAGGAGTTGCGGGTCGCGGGACAACACGCCATGGCGAGGTGGTCGACGACGACGTACGACAGAATTTGCCGATGAGATACGACGATTACGGCGATTAGAAATAATATTTTATTTTATTATAGACAAAATTCCTTATCGCCCTCTAACGGAAATAATTTCCGCGCAGCGTATTTTATAATGCAGTGGGATATCTATAGTATATATAATCAATGCTAAAACATATAATTATTGACAGAAAATATTTTATTTATCTAACATTTTTAATTTTTGTAGTTCTCAAGACTACAAGCTATCATTATTGCGATTCACGACTCATCGGAGATGACAATCATCATCGAGTTGCAAATTGTTATTATATTCGTAACATTATCATTTATGAAATACATATTAATAAAATTTGTGTGAACTATTAAGAAACCTATTATTATATAATAATATTATGTACGTCCGTATGCAAAGTCGGTGCGTTACGGGTCACCTAAAACTGCTTAGGTGTTACCTAGCTACGGGGCATGTAACCAATACTTAGTGAGCCCGTAAATTTGAATTATATAGTCAAAATTTAAGTCACTCGTAGTTAGGTATTACTTAAAATTACATTATTCTTCCATGATATTTTATGTTATCAGCTGGGTTATCACTTATCAGTGGTTCATTTTTATATTAGTTCGAATTTTCATTTTTAAATTGTCATCAACAATCACGCATTAACATTTAACTAAGATTTACAACTATATTATTTCACTAGTTAAGCATATTATAATTAAAAATGAAAAGTACTAAAAGAGAGCGAGGTCCGAATTGGGATACTCTAGAGAAAGAAATATTTTTCCATTGTGTAGCTAAAGTGAAACACATTATAGAAGATTCAAAAAAAGATTTTAACTCAAACCTAAAAAAACACGAAGCTTGGGAAAAAGTAACAAATGAGTTTAATTCACATGCTCAAGTTCAAAAGGTAGGTTCTAATGTATAATTAACATGTAAAAACCGGTATGTTTAGGTATTTATTTTATAAAATATACCAGCATGATTTTGTTGTTAATGTTGTTATAATAATGCTTACAGAGAGAAGTAAAGAATTTAAAAACATTTTGGGAATCAGAAAAAGCCAAATCTAGGAAAACATTCACTTCTGAAAGGTATAACAGATTGAAAACTGGAGGAGGTTCATATGAAACAACAGCTGATAATATTCAAAATCCTGAGGTGGAGGAACTTATTGGAAAACCGCATATTGTAGAGTGGAAAAATAATTATGACAGTGATGGTGTGGCATTTGAAAAATCAAAAACCAGTTAGCCATAATTTGTTTTTTAAATACATTTTATAACATTTTTTAAATTTATTTTTATGTTTTTGAACTTATGTAATGTTATAGACAGTTCAAATATTATGGACAGTTCGGGTAATATTGTTCATTTGGAAATTATCAATGCTGAGACACCAATATAGATTTCTGGTACATATTAGTTATTGCATTGATCATATTATGTAAATGTTAAGTTATTAGATAAGTTTATTATTTATTTGTTTAGATGAATTATTTACTGAAACAGATTTTAGTGGGCCGAAATCAGCTATTATAATAGATATAACTAAAACTCCAGTTAATGAAAGCTATATAAAACCAGTACAACCAGGTTTGTGTACTATCCTAATTTATGTAATTTTCTTACTTAAATTGCTTTCTGTCATCTATACTAGTCAATAGGTATAGTTAATTTTGTGCTTATTTAAACAAAACTATTTTGTTTTTTAGAAAAAAGAAACCATATTGAAAACATCACAAGCAAATCCGCCAAAAAAGATGGTATCCTAAAAGAATGTGAGCTGAGAGTAAAGAGGCAAAAAATGGCAATTGAATCAGAAGAAAAAATGAATAAGTTACAGGTAATATTAAAAAAAAAATAAAACATATTTAAAAAAGATGATATATGAATATACGATACAATGGAATACAATTATTATTGGTTATGCATAATATAAAATATAAATTATTACTGGGGTACAGAATTTTAGGTTTTTACATATTCTTACTGAATGTGTGCAGTTTTATCAGAAAGGTATTTATAGTTAACAATGTAAATTTGAAATAATTGTAGTAATTACAGTTGGTTTTTTATATTTTAACTAAATTTAATGTTTACAAGAAACAGTTACAAATAACTACTAACTAGACAACTATAATTACTTATAGCTTGAAAACAAATTGAATAAAGCATATTTTGATGTTCATTGATTATTTTTCTCATTTTTGAGTGAATTAAAATACAAATTTATTTTTATTTTTTATGGAGAATATTAAGATCATATTTCAGCTTTAAATTATCCTAAAAGTCTGGGCCTTAGTTATTACATAAGAATTGATTAATGTGGTAATTTAATTATTAAAGATATACAGAATACTAGCTGATAAGTTAATTAATATAAAACAAATTAATGTTCAAAATAGATTTCAGTATTGTATACATATTGTTATTCTACATTTCCTAATTTTAAACTATCTAGATTTTAAATCAGAAACTTATAATGCAGTCTGTAGTAGCTAAGCGCTTTGAGGAACATAAAGTGTTCAAGTTACAATGTGAAAAACTTGCTTTAGAAATGAAAAAAATTAAAGAAAATATTATTTAAATAAATATATATACAGGGTGTTCCAAATTTCTTGTGACAGCAGATTTCAGCATGATATACTTAAATTATGAAAAAATGACCTATTCGAAAACCTTTTTGAATCATATAAGCTAAAATAATTTGATATAAATTATTTTTTTTATTAATTAAAAAGGGGAAATTTTAGGGGTAACTTTTAAAATTCAAATGGGAACATATATTTTTGAAATATGATTCATATACGATTTATTTTTTAATGAATTTTGACGTATCATTAATAATTTTGCATTAATAATTAAAGAAGTTATTAACATTTTAATTTTGTATTTTAATTTATAAAATGCCATCAATGAATCATAATAATAGACATTTGTGCTTCTGTTATACGCCGATGCATTCTTATACAACCTTAATAATCTTTACGCTATTTAACTATCAATGTATTATAATTATAAAACGTATGTTTGATATCTTATTTAAGCTTAATATATTACATAGGTAAAATCGCATCATTGTATTGAAAATAAAAAAAAAACAACACATTAGATAACAATATAATATACCTACATAATATTATAATACGTAATATATTGTATATTGTTCTATTTATAATCATAACATAATATTTATAATTTATAATATAAACTTATAAAAAAATAGCATACAGTAAATAAATAGGTAATAGCATTTATACCAAATTGATGTACAAATTATATTATACAGCATACAATTATTTAAAATTTATACAAATAGGTACCTGTATTTTTCGATTAATTTAGGTACCTAAATACATATTTTTTTATTTAAATAATAGGTAATAACTAGGGCCCGGAAGTTCATGCATTTACATGTTTTTACGGAGTGCATCAAAACGTTGCTGGATGAGATAAAAATTTGAATCACAATCTACGAGTTCGAAAATGAAATTTTAATGTACATATTTTCGCATATTTTGAGGTTTATTAAAAATATAAGAATACTTTAAAATTCAATTGTATTTTACTGTATTTTAGTGTTATATTTTTATAATTTTTTTTTATAATTAATATTTCATGATAATGTTGGACTTTGAGTTTATTTCAAAATGCATTTGTTGAAAAATATGTCCTTTTAACGTCAATATAAAATGAAAACCTGATTAAAATTAGTATCATTGCTTGGTCGGGCTGATAATTGTTATTCATTTGTATTTGAAACCCTTACAAAATATTCAAAATCCCTAATTGTAAATTTTAATTCTTGGAGTAAATATAACATATTCAATTATATTAAAATTGTGGATATTTTTTCCTCGTCTTTTAATTATTATTTTTACCAAAAACAAAAAAAAAACTTAACGTAAAATAACAAAATACACATTTAGCTCATATTTTAGTGATTTAAAGAGTATATTTTGATAGTTTTTAATGCATGAACTTTCAGGCCCTATTAATACTATTATCATACCTACTTTAATATTTTGTTTGAATAAACTTAATATTAGATACACCATTTCTAAACACTGCAAAATGACAACATTGATTTAGAAAATTTGTATGATTAAATTTCGCGTTCAACATATAGCTAAATGATGCATAAAAATCAAACAGTTTTTGAAAGAACATCACCTTTTCACAACATAAAGATATGATTTATCCAATATTAAATAATAATAACTAGGGCTTGGATGTTGTTACAATGATTAAAAGTTATTAAAGACTTAAGGTTACAGCTAGACTTGGGAATTTAAGTTTTAAAAAAACCGGGCAAGTGCGAGTTGGACTCGCGCACCGAGGGTTCCGTACAAACCTGTAGGTATATAAGTAAAAGTTTTTTTTATTTTTATTGCAAAATGAAATTTATAACATAAAAATATGGAAAGCTGGAGGATCATAAATTAATGACAAAGGTATCTTTATCGTTCCAGTAATCCTTCATTTTATATTAACATCTATCATTTATTTTATAATATAACAAGGGCAAGCTTTTTTATCAAAGTTATTTATTTACAGTTTTTTAGTCACTATTTAGAAATCTGGTACAAAAATGTTAATTAAGAATTAAATTTGAACCAGATTTGTAAATGGTGACTGAAAAAGGTATGATTAGTACCACATTGAACATTGAAGTTCGAAAAAACGTTATCTATAGTTGTACTACTTCGTGTAGTGCTAGTGTTTATTAACGGAAACATGTTTAGGGATGAAAAAAATGTGGAAATTCCATTTTGGGGATTCATTCCAAAATCGATATTGAAGTCTCCCACAGCAATCAGACGAGAACATGATGTATACCTATTGAGGTTGTTGTCGTATATTGCTGTATTTATGCATTCTATTGCAACATTAATTGGACATTGTGGTGACCTATATACAGTTATCACTCTGACATTAAACATTTCAAAATGCAAGCATTCACAATGGCCGTTTGCAGCGCCTGGGTTATTTAAATAATACAAAACTCCTGCTGCCTTTACCTCAGCAGTACCGCCATAACTAAAGGATTGAAGCATCGTATCTTTGTACTCATGTCGTGAAGAGAACGGATCTCCCTGGGCATCGCTTGTATACAAATTAAACTCGTCCCAGTTATTATAAATATAATTAACTATTGTAGATCTAAGTAATTGTGTTTGTTCATTATTAATGGTATTGTATATAGAGTACGCTATTGCATGAAATAAACAACTTCCATCGGGAGGCATAGGTATTATATTATGTAAAATAATATTTTCGTTGACAATTAACGCAACTATAGCCATAATAATTATGGCTATATTATGGCTATATAATAATAATAATATATAATATAATATATATATATTAATAATATAGTAGTATAATAATAATATAATAATATAATTATTATATTTTTGTAAAGTTTTGGAGTTTTATTTATTTCGGTAAACGTGCGAACAGCATCTGGGCGCTCGTGCGAATGACGCATAGATAAAGGAAATATAGATGCCCGACTTACTCTTGATATAATTGTTCGTTTGATTTTAGTTAAAACAATTGTCACTTGTTGCGCTAGTAGAGATTACCTTGAAAACACAATAAAATAATATCATATTTATGGTATTTAGATTTCCCTCCAAAAATTGAAAAAAATGTTTAGAATTTGATAATATTTATTATTTAATTTGGAGATCATTAATATTGGCATACCTTATTATTAAAGACCGGATTTTGCATAAAATGCATGTTGTTATTTTCAACATCATATACATGCAGTCAATGAGTGTCCACAAATCATTACTTGATTGATTAAATATCAAATTTTATACTGCATATTTTTGATATTCTGACGTTAATACATGATCTCATTATTTTGCATTATTTACCAAAATGAGAATACAAATATACAAATAAAAACATAGATTATAGTACGTTTATATAATAAGCAATAATGACGGCAT